TTAACTGTTGTGCCTCTAGGGCCCTTTGGAGTTCCACCCTGACCCAATTCCATGGTCCTTCTCAACTGACTTGGGCATTTTCTCCTCTGCTGCAATGTCAGAGAGGACAGGCTAAGGGCAGGGCTTAGTGCCTAGGGGGCCGTCACTGCTAGGGGCAGGCACCGCTAGGTGTCTGGTTACTTCCTGATCTGTATAAATGGAGGAAAGTTTGTAGTCTTCCCTACTGTTTTCCAACTTCTCTTTTCAAATGCCTTAACATGAATTATGTCTGACTAATACATACAGTATACAGTTCACCAGGCTTTGACAATCAGCACCATCACCCTCGTCAAGACTGTTCCCACCCCTTGAAAAGAAGCGCAGGGCTCTGCCTAGCTAATCCCCTCACCCTGCCGCTAACAACCACCATTCTGATTCCCATCACCCTTCTTCAGCTTTCTCTGTTCTGGAACAGGGCATAAACAGAACTACACGGCACGTACCAGCTCCGTATTCATTTTAACATGCAGATGATGTTTTCAAATTATTTGCCATGAGTAAACATGTCACTCCGAGAAGACACACTGCCTTGATCCACTGACTATGTATCTTTCATAGCAAGTTTCTGGGCATGCAGACCTGAGTTTCCAAAGTCTAAATACCAGACCGCTCCCTCCCTTCTCCCATTTTGCAATCTTCCAACCTCAGGGCCAGCTCACCCCCCACTTCCAGCCCCAGCATCTAGCAATCACGGCACCTAGAAGGGCCCAACACCCTGAGAGATTCTGTTTGGAGTGGAATAACAATCCCTAAGGCAGGCAGAGAGCCATTACAGCTCAATAGCTAATAATAATATTAGCTAGCCTTTCTGGAAGGCTCTTCCTACCAGACGCTATGCTTGCTGCTCACATACATCATCTCTGGTTCTCACAGCCTCCCAGTGAGGTATTATCTCCATTTGGGAACTAGGAAATAGAGTTAGCGAGGTCAGGACAGGCCCTGGAGGCTTTTAGGAACTGATTTGCCTGGGGGATTGTAAAGATGTAGTGGTCCAGGGCTGGTCCCAGTTTCTGTATCTAGCGATGGCTTCCAGCTGATGCCGTCAGGTCACACTGGTATAGCAAAGCAGAGATGAACTGCCAGGGGCAAGTACCAACAAGGGGAGAATCCACAGTTTCCATGTGGAATGCTTTCTCTCAGGGCCAGTGTGCTCAGCAGCCGGTGTAATTATGGACCAGGGAGGAGAAAACCCAAACACACACACACTGGGGTGGAGTTCCTTTTCTGGGATCCCAGTGTTTTTTTGTTTTTTTTTTTTTTTTTTTTTTTTAACAATACCTCCTAATGAGATGTGTAGGCTGCAGAAAGCTATCCCTCCAGCCAAGGCAGAGGAGAATGGAGTAGGAGCGAGTCTAAGAACTCTCCCAGGGAAGGCACTCTGGGGCTCAAAGCTGGGGAGACTGAGGAAGAGCAATATGATGAAGAGCGGCAAGATGAAGGGGGAGGGGCAAGATGTGGGGCCCGAGATGGCAGGAGAGGGACAAGTTGCGGGGCAACTTGGCAAGGGAGGAGCAAGATGGCGGAGGGGCATGCTGACATCTGCCTGGAGCCCTGCACGGAGGCCATCAGCTGGTATGGGAGAATTGTCTGTATTCTGTCAATCATGTATTTTAATAAAACGCTGATTGACCAGGCAGGAAGTATAGGCAGGTCAACCAGACAGGAAGTAGAGGCGGGGCAATGAGAATAGGATAAGGCTAGGGAGGAGGAAACTCCCTCAGTCATTCCTGCGCAGACCACCGAAGAGGCAGCATGTAACTTGCCCAGCTGAGAAAGGTACTGAACCATGTGGCTAATGTAGATAAGGATAATGGGGTAACATAAGTTATAAGAGCTAATAAGTAGCCTGACCTAATAGGCCAATCAGCTTTATAACTTATAGAGATCTCTGTGTGATTGATTTTCCCTGGGACTTGCCAGCTGTGGGGTACCAGGCAGGAACAGATACCCCAACAAGCCGGCCCTCATGCTACAGTCAGCGTTCCCTGGAGCTCAGAGGGGTGTAGTAACTGCTGTTGGTTTCAGGGTGTTGGCTGTGTGCTACTGTAGACTGCTGTGCCGGCCCCTCAGCGACACCTGTTCCACACACAGCCCTGACTTGTTACAGCTTCAGAGAGGAGAAACTGACTTACACAGTGAGCATCAAAGGAGCCCAAGGAGAGGGTCGGAGAGACGGCTCAGGGGTTAAGAGCCGTGACTACTCTACCAGGCTTTCTCTTTTGGGCCACCAACCAGCTCCCAAATCATGACATGGAAACTTATTAGTTATAAATGCCGGCCTTAGCTTAGCTCCTCTCTACTCTTTTAACTTAATCTGTTTCTCTTTATCTACCTTTTCCTCAGGGCTTTTTATTTTTCTTCTGTATTTCTTACTGTCACTGTTTCTCTTGGCTGCTGGCCCTCCATCTCTCCTCCTTCTCTCTCGTTCCTGTTCTTCCTTCTCTCCAGCCTAGATTTCTCCTATTATTCATTCTCCCTGCCCACCAGCCTCACCTACCCGTTTCCTCCTGCCTAGCTATTGACCAGTCAGCTTTTTATTAGACCAATCAGGTGCCTTAGGCAGGCAAGGTGAAACAAATGCAGCACATCTTTACATAGTTAAACAGAAACAGCATAAACAAAAGTAACATGGTTTTATACAGTTAAGGTAGAATTAACAAACACATATTTGCTCAGTTAAAATAATATTCCACAGGGGCTGGAGAGATTGCTCAGAGGTTAAGAGTACTGCCTGCTCTTCCAAAGGTCCTGAGTTCAATTCCCAGCAACCACATGGTGGCTCACAACCATCTGTAATGAGATCTGGTGCCCTCTTCTAGCCTGCAGGCAGAGTACTGAGAATACTGTATGCATAATAAATAAATAAATAAATCTTTTAAAAAAATAATATTCCACAACAGACAGCTCTTCCAGAGGACTCAGGTTCAATTTCCAGCATCCACATGACAGCTCACAACTGTTTGTAACTCCAGTTCCAGGGGACCCAACACCCATGGCAAAACACCAATGCACATAAAATAAAAATAAATTAATTAATAAAAAAGTATTCCACAAATGTTTGTTGGTGATCTGATACTTTAAAAAAAATAAAGCTCAAGGAAGCATATGTGCTGAATAAACCTGACTGGAATGTCAGAGCCAAGGACATTAGGACGGAGTGTCTCTTTCCAAACGAATCTCTCTCCAATCTCAAAAGATGTAGGATACAAATTGAACAACTTAAACCTCTCATTCATGGTGTCTTCAGCCTGTGACCCCAACTTTTTCAGAGGCTAGGGAGAAAGATCTTCAGGAGTTCAAGGCCAGCCTAGGCTATGGTATGAACACCTGTCTCTAACCCCGCTCCCCAAGGGAAGTCTGAAGTGGCTTTATTTTTAGTTCTGGAATGGGGCACTTCCTTCCAGAAGGCAGAAGTACTTGGATAGGCACCCTTGTAGAGGGCGGAGAACAGACACAGCAAAGAACAGATGATGGCTTCCTTTGCAAGGCTGGGAGGTGGAAAGTAGAAAGCAAGTGCTCTGTGACTTGAGATTAGCATCCCCAGAGGGTAGCATCCCAGGGAAAGCAGCAGTCAGGGAGCCTGGCCTATTGGGGAAGTTATTTCTTTAGTCTCGGTTTCTTGGAAGGCCGAATTAAATAGCTTTAGTTTTTAGCATGGTGACGTTTAGCACTAGTGATTCCATTTTGATTTTCTGCCAAGGCTGTGAGGAACTTAGTTTAAACAATGAAATGCTGATGTGTTCTCACAAGGATGCTCCCTGTACTTGAGACAGGGGTGCTGGCCCATCGTCGATATGATTTTATGAGGGACAGGGAACGCTCACATCTATTATTTCATTTATTTTATACAGCCTTGGCAGGTGAGAGAGTAGGAGTCACCACCTCCTGTTATAGGTGAGAAGTCAAGGCTAAGGGCACTGGAATGTTCCCACAGCCAGAGCTGGAAGGCTGACCGTGAAGGGGTGAGGCTGACTGAGTGATGATGGGGCTGACTGTATGGAGATGGGGTTGGTGGGGGGGACTGCTTGGGGGGAACTGATTGTGTGGGGGTTGGGCTGACTGTGTGAGGATGGGGTCTTCTGTATGGGGATGGGGTTGGCTCGCTGGGGGGGACTGATGTGGGGAGCTGATTGTGTGGGGGTGGGTTAGCTGTGTGGGGATGGGATTCACTGTGTGGGGGAGGGGCTGACTGTATGGGGATGGGGTTGACTGGTGGTGGGGGTCTGATGGGGAGAGCTGATTGTGTGGGGTTGACTGTATGGGGATGGGGTTGGCTATGGGAGGGGTTGGTGGGGGGAGGGAGCTGATGGTGTGTAGGGGACTGATTATGTAGGGGCGGGGCTGGCTGTGTGGGGATGCAGCTGGCTAGATGCCTCTCCTAGCCACTTCACTATGTTATCCAGAATCGCCTGGGAAACATTGCGTTGTGTTGTAGTATATGAAGACAGGACCTAATCCAGCCTGGTTCAGCCTCAAACTTTGAACATAGCCATGGCTGGTATTAAATTGATGGTGATCCTCCTGGAGTCTGAGCCTCCTAAGAAGTCCCTGGTGGCCCAGTGGCCTGGGCTGTTATGGCTGCTGAACCTTATAGCCTCTGGTCTCAAAAAAAAAAAAACCCTGATCCACAGCATGTCCTCAAAGTTTGTTTATTTTAACTTTTTTTTGAGACAGGGTCTCATGTAGCCAATGTTAGTCTTGAACTCAATACGTGACCAGGGACAGACAACCCTGAATTTCTCTCTGCTCTTTCTCCCTCCAGCCTTCAAACACTGGGATTACAGGTGTGTGTCACTGTTGTGTGAGAGACTATTCCTGGGAAGACACCACACACACACACACACACACACACACACACACACACACAGAGTCTTCTCGCCCTCCAATGGGAACCCATGACGGAACAAAGTAATGATTCCACCAATGTTCGACTTGTAAACCAATGAGTTTTTATTGGGGTTACTAACTGGGGCATGGGTGAGGGGCTACTTACAGGAGCAGGGGTGACTTAGGAAAGTTACTGCAGTCCTGAAAGGCACCCCCAACACAGGTGCAGCCTCACAAACTCTGGGGTCCTGAAATTCTCAGCACAGTTTGCCGGTGGCTCAACAGCCCAAGAATCTCCTCTTGGCAGCTGCGTTGGTCAGTCTGTTCTCCCGGCAGCTGCGGACTCCTTCATAAAGCTGGGAGGGACCTTTGGAAATCTTCCAAGTTTTCTTTTTCCCAGAGATGTGGCCTTTTGCTTGCCTCTGAGTCCCAGGAACCTTCTGCTTGCCCTTGAGGGAGCATTTCATCTGGGAGGAAACCGCCACATGACAGTCACCACACTCAGTTTATTGGGTGCTGAGGATGAAACCCAGGGTTTCACGCGTGCGCAAGGCAAGCACTCTACCAACTGAGCCACGTCCCCAGGCCCCGGGGAACTTAAATGTTGCTGTTGCCCAACAGGATATCTGGAATCTGTTTGGAATTGGATCCAAGCATCCCAGTTTTTCAAAAGATCTTCCCTGGTTCCAGTTAAGGTGAGAATCTCAGAACTGGCTGAGATTTAATTAATTAATAATGATAATAAAAGTCTGAGCTCATTACTGGGCTCAGCCAGGTTCACAGAGTCGTGGCTCACATTTGCTGCTGGGGCAATTTTTACTCCCGGCTCTCAAACATTGTATAGCAGGCTGTCAACCCCCAGCTGCTGGAAGACTTGATAAAACTGAGGGCTGGACTCACCTCAGAGCTTCAGACCGCCTGATTCCGGAGCCAGGACTGAGTATGTGTTTGTCCAATGCGTTGCCTCTCCTGGGGGCCTGTATGAATCAACTCTATAAACACAAAAAGGGACAGTGACCTAACAGGGGGAGTTATATGTTGCCCCGCCAGCCAGGGCAACAGGGGACTCTCCCTAGGTGTCTTACACGACAGAGGGAGGGCTCAGTCAGTGGCCAGCCTCCTGCAAGCGCAACCTCTAGTTGGTTCTACTGTTGGCTGGAAGCCAGCTTTCCAGGACTAGGTCCTGCCTGTGCTGGCTGGAGAGAGGCTGAGATGGATGGGAACACCTGTTGCCTAGGCAACACACTCTGCCTCATACAACCAGACACTTGAAAAAGAGAAAAGCAGAGAGGAGAGAGAGAGGACATGAGAACGTGTGGGGGAAACAAGGTCGGGTCAGATTCTCCACATTTGCATCTTTGTGAATGCGCTATAGATTATACGTTCTTCCACCCCAGGCTGCGACAAAGCAGCCGGGACAGAGCTTCTCAAATCGTCTCGGGGTTTGCTATGCAGAGGGAAGAAGCCAGACGTCATTGCCTTATATTGGCTTGTTTATGTGGCCACCCTTACCAGTGCTATGCTGGGAGAGCCCGGTCAGACTTCCGGGACCCTAAGTGCCACATGTGGGAGACAAAGAGGCTGGCAGGGGGTGAAGAGGCTTGGTGCTCTGACCAGATGAGAAGCTGTGAGCTAGGAATGGCCCATAGCCCAGGCTGACAGTCACTTTTTTGGGGAGCACACAGAGTGAGGGGAAGAGGAAGATGAAAAGACAAATAGAAAAAGGAGCATGGGCCGGGTGGTGGTGGCACATGCCTTTAATCCCAGCATTTAGGAGGCAGAGGCAGGCGGATTTCTGTGAGTTCGAGGCCAGCCTGGTCTACAAGAGCTAGTTCCAGCATAGGCTTCAAAACTACAGTGAGGGGTGGAGAGATGGCTCAGAGGTTAAGAGCATTGCCTGCTCTTCCAAAGGTCTCGAGTTCAATTCCCAGCAACCACATGGTGGCTCATAACCATCTGTAATGGAGTCTGGTGTCCTCTTCTGGCTTGCGGGCATACACACAGAATATTGTATATATAATAAATAAATATTTTTAGAAAAGCAAAAACAAAAACAAAACCACAGCGAAACCCTGTCTTGGAAAACCAAAAAAAGAAAAAGTAGCATGGGCCAAGAAACCGAATCGGCGATTGGGCAGAGTCTTTGGTGTATGTAGCCTCGTCCTCGGGGACAAGGTGACCAGGCTATGCCCAGTGTTCAGGTCTGGTCTCTTGGCCACAAAACGTGTTGGCTAATACAGCTTGTGGCTTTCTTTCATGCCACTCTATGCAGGGATGGAGCCAGGAACTGAACTCAAAGGCTCTGATGGCTCCTGTTCTCCAAAGGCAGAGGCTCAATGAGGTAAGAAACCTGAGCATGTGAGAGGGGCAGCCTCTCCTTGTCTCCTTAGTCCACATGGAAAGGAAAGGGAAGGACGACACCAGCCCTTTCTACTTTCTCAGGCATGCTCTCCCATCGGGACCGCCTTCTCCCCATCCTGACTGCTCCCTCACACTCTTCACTAATGGGAAGGCTCTCCCCTCTCCTTATCGCACTGCTAAGATCAGGAATTGTTTTCATTTGGGCAATGCTGAGACTGGAACTCAGGACCTTGTGCTTGCTGGGCCAACATCCTTCCACTGAATCCTGGGGACCGTCTTTATAATTGAGATACTCTGTGACTCTTAGTTTAGAGTCTTCATTTTATTTTCTGTTTTCTATGTATTTTGTATGTATAACCGCAGTGATTACTTTCTTAAACACACCAAACCCCGCCATCTTTATGCTGCAGCAGCCACCACTATGGTAATTACAGTACTAACGTATACACGATGAAACATGGGTTTAAATTCTTTTCGCTAACCTGTTCTTGGTACAGTTTCTGCAACAAACGTGTATTAATTTCACCTTTAAAAATTATTTCAAAATGAGTTTAACCTTACATATTGAATCATTCATATGGATGTGGGGTTCGAGTCTGTGCGTCTGACGGGGGAATGACACAAAGCAAGGGGCCGAGCTGCATTTTCCCATCACTGGCATAGTCTGTGGTGCTGTGTAGCAATATGGTCATGCACTTGGCACCTTCGACCAGCGTGTAACGCCGCTTGATGGCTTCCTTGTGTTGGGAGTCCAAACTTAGACTCTTCCAGGAGGCCTTAGTGGGACCTTTTTTTGGGGTCTCATGAATGTAAACAAGGAGTTTACAGGGCTCTCATCTCCTGGAGGCTTGGTGGGATGATGGGAATCTTCACGGTCAACTCACTGGATTTCGAATCACCATGAGAACACAGTCCTGAATAGAGTGATGAGGGTGTTTCCAGGGAGATTTAAATGAGGAGGAAAGACTCATTCTAAATGGAAGTGGTTCCATCCTATGGACCAGGGACCTGGGCTGATTAAAAAGGAGAAAGTAAGCCGAGTACCAGCATTCATCTCTCGCTGCTTCCTGACTACTGGCACGGTGTGATTGGCAGCCACATGCTCCTCCTACCATGCCTTGTCTACCATGATGGACTGTACCCTCACACTGTGAGCCAAAAGGAGTCCTTCTTTCCTTCAGTGGCTTCCTGTCAGGTATTGCCACACCATAAAAAAATACCTAACCCAGAAGAGAAGGGCCTGCCTCAGGAGTCCCGCAAGCTGATGTCAGACTTCAATTCCTGGTAACCGAGGACTGTGCTTTCCTAAAGCTGTTGGCCGCAGACCACCTTGTGGCCCCTGAAGGATATCATGTGGGCTTCCTCAAGCCAGTCCAGAGTTCAAAGACTACAGTGACTGGCTGGTCGAGCTCAGAACCACACACTGTGGGGAGCGAAGGAAGCCCCGAGTGGGTGAGGTTTCGAGAGAACGGGTATGGCGTGTCAAAGGCCAATGCCTCAGCCCCACAGGAGTGGCAGAGGCTCAGCAGGATAGCAAAGCCTTCTTTGGGTGCATGTGCAAATGCTGACGGTGTTCAGAAGTGACAGTGCAGCTTTCTACCCCAAGGTGTTTATGATCGAATGACTGCTCTCCTACAGAGACTGCTTCTGTGGAGATTAGCCGACCCCACTTTCTCCTTCAGAAGAAGCCTTGGCTCCTATCAAGCTGTGTGCAGTAACCCATCCTCCTTGTTCTTTCGTGGATGATAAGCATGATGAGCTTCCCCAGAACTGTCGCTTTTCCAACTGATCCCAGCATTTCGGTCCTTTCTTCGTGTCCCTTTCTTCGTGACCCAGTTGGGTCAGTCCCTGGAGCTGTGCAGGACGAGGCAGCACGCACCCAGATGCTACGCTACCCTATGTAGGTTAGAAGGAAGTTGTAGGCTTTGCCCCTGGGGAGCCAAAGGAGGGCGTTATTTAAAGGAGGATCACAGGTGGGTCCTGGGGTCATCTCAAACGCCCGTCACAAATGCTGTGCTTGAATTCACTTAGCATATTTGACATATTAAACAATGAGACAGGGCTGGAGATGTGGCTGAGCAGGGCGTTTGTCTAGCAGGTGCAAAGCCCTGGGTTAGAGCTCCAGCGTTGCATAAACGGGGCGTGGTGGGACATTCCTGTAATCCCAGCACTCAGGGGTGGAGGCAGGAGGAACAGACGTTTAAGGCTATCTTCAGGTACCGGTGAGTTTCAGGACATCCTGGACTAGAGACTCTATCTCAAAGGATGGAATAAAGCAAAATACAAACCAAAACTTTTTCTTGTGTTTTGTCTTAGAGAATGGTTTTTATAAAACATAAAAAAATCTCTCCCTTTTTAAATGACTCCCACACGTATTTTTTTTTTAAATTTACACATTTTTACTTTATGTATATGAGCATTTTGTGTGCATTCACATATGTGCACCGTATGTGTGTAGTGCTTGAGGAGGTCAGAAGAGAGTACTGGGTCCCCTGGAATTGGAGTTACAGACAGTTGTGAGCTACCCTGTGGATGCTGGGAACCCAGGCCCTCCAGAAGAATAGTGCACATTCTTAACCACCCTTGCCCCGTTGTTCCAGCTCCTCCCACTCTTATTCTGTTTGCCTGTGAACAATTTTCAGTGAAGCGTGATATGTACAGGCAAAGAGAAGAGACAGTAAAGGTGCAGCTCGATAAACCACTCATAAAGTGGCCACACCACATAACCAGGACGTGGGTCAAGGTTCTCCACATTCGGTCCTCCAGGAAGGTCCCAGGGAAGGCTCCACACCCGCTGTCTCCAAGACCCTGCCTGCACTCCCGCTCTCCTGAAAGACTGACTGCCTCATTCCTATTCTTTGCTTCCTCCTCCAGCGTCATGACTACCAATCCCCCTTCTGATGTCATTCAGGAGTTGTTTGGGTTAAGGCTTCACCCCAGCCCCTGGCATTCATATATCTATCCAAGGAGTCTGGAATGTTTGGGTGGAAAGTTCCATCCCAAGCCTCCTCCCCAGGGAGTTGCCTCAGTCCAGACTCCACCTCCAAGAAAGCCTTCTAAACGGTGACCCTCCTCCCCAGAGATGCTCAAGACCACTCCCACAGGGTATTTAAACTGCCCCCCCAGAGAACAAACACGTGGTTTCCCTCCCTGTCTTCCTTCCCCATTTCCTCTCTGAGGTTCTGGAAGGCTGCCCGGGAGGGCTAGTATCCATTAAACCTGGGCTTTCTCTAATTTGGTTTGATTTGGTCTGATTTGGATTCTTGGAGAGGTTTATCGGGCTGTAAAAACTTTTCAGGAGTGTCTTAGGGTTTTATGGCTATAAAGAGACACTATGGCTACGGAAACTCTTATAAAGGAAAATATCTCATTGGGACTGACTTACAGTTCAGAGGTTTATTATCATCATGGTGGGGAGTATAATGGTGGGCAGGCAGACATGGTGCTGGAGAAGTAGCTAAGAGTTCTATATCTGAATCTGTAGGCAATGGAAAGAGATTGTGCCACTGGGCCTGGCTTGGGCTTCTGAAACCCCAAAGTCCATTCCCAGTAACACACACCCTCTAACAAGGCCACACCTATTCCTACAAGGCCACACCTCCCAATAGTGTCACTCCCTGAGCCTGTGGAG